GATTGCGTTAGCGAGATATATAGGGTAAAGGAGAGTACAGATACTGAGCGCGTCAGCTATACCCCAGAGATTCGGCGTAGAGGCGGACAACTTCTGCGTCAGTGCCCTCCACAAGCGACTTCCGTCGAAGTTTCCCCAACTGTTTGGTCGCAGTAATCCCATCTACCTTGTTCTTATTTGCCAAGTACGCGGCCAGAATCGTGCCGGTTCGCACCATGCCCATTTGACAATGAACACCGGATTTCTGGGGGAAAAGAAGATACTGAGGATGAAGCTCGAAAAATAAAACGAGTACTCTCGGCGATCCAAAAAATATACTAGATATACGGTTTACTTCCCGGGCAAGGGAAGTACGTAACTTGCTGCACTCAGACAGCTATGCTAACTACAGTCCTAAATGCCGTACTACCAGCCTTAAGCAACCACGCGTACTTAAAGCAGGTTGCTTCCCGTATGAGATTAGGAAGCAAGTAAAAGGACAGATGGACAACCAAGCTACTGATTTAAGAGACTTGGTGTTCTAGGCTTAGAGTTCTAAGTCCAAAGTCGTCTCAAATTGTGTACAGAAAACATTAAAAATACGTCATTTGGTTTCTGTCTCGGAAAGCAAGGCTGAATGTGACTAATGGCGTCGGGCTACAACAGTGAAACAGCCTGTCAGAAGGTGATGTGAGTAGGATTAAAAGTAAAAATATGATGTTTATTTTTGGAGCCCTTTAAAGGTTTTCCTACTGCAATTGGATGTATATGAAAAACGGTAATTGATTGCACTTCGGTCAAAGGAGAGAAAGTTAGATAATAAAAGCAAACTGAAATAGGCCCTATTTGGTCGGGTGAAATTTGGTAGATTGATAGCGAAGGCCGCATTCTAAGAACCCGGAATAAATTATTTTGTGCGTGATAGTAGGGGTGCGTTAATGATCTATGACGAAAATTTCAATAACAAGTTTAGGCATTAATCTACCGCGACCGGATAAGAAACCTTGCAAACTGAGCTAACACATCTCTTGAGGTAGTTTTATTACTATGAGGAACATTTACAGGCATTCACGACTTAAAGGACAGTATGTAGATCCGCCTTGTAGCAGATGGTTTTAGCCCCGAACGTTCTTTAGTGGCAATATATAACTCCGTCAATAACATACGAGTTCTCTAAACACTCACCTCATTTTTTGACTCGGCATCTACCATAATGTCGACTATTTCCTTTACCAAATCCAGATCATCTTCGGTAAATCCGCCGACTGGATGGTAGTGATGGTGAAGGGCTAAGAGCGGAAAGACAGGGGCACATAATTTGACAAGAAAATCTAGTTTTTGATATTTTATGACCGGTACAATGGTTGTTAGTGTTATATCGATGCTTTCGATAGTATAACTACTCAGGCGCATTTTGGCTCATGCCTGCTTAAGCAGACATGAGCCATATTTCTAGAATTCTAGAAATATGACTTAAAAGATTTTGTACATATTATGTATGCTTAGTTTAAAGAAAAGACTAAAAAAACGTGAATAGTAGACACTTTTAGTATGTTATTTTATTTGCAAAAAATGCGTATAAGTAGAGCATTGTAGGTGTTGACAGACGATTTTACACATAGAGAAAAAGTTTTCATGAGGCGAAATAGGTTCCTATACCACACTGAGATGCTAGACACAAGCAGGCAGTGGTTTCGTGCACGTAGTCAGGACCCCAAACGACTCCCTGCTCTGTTGCTTCTTCTTCTTCTTCTTCAAGAATGAAATCGTTTTAATTATCAGGAAACCCGTCTTTTTGATTATTCATGCCGCCATTAGCACTTTCTTGTTCAGTTGATTTTTAAAGGCAACGAAACTTTCCTACCTTAATTACCAACATAATTAGAATCACTCCTGCTAATAAGGGTTTGCCGGCCTCAACGCTTGAAGGAACGTGGCTAACTCTCCCAGGTGTTCGGATTGCAGAGCCGACGTACTCTAAACATGAAATGGCTTCGTGAGAAGTCAGCATAAGAAAAAGAATGCCTGAAAATCTGTTTCAAAAAATACACTGTATAATAAGCGACTGACACCGTAAGCCACCTTTCGAAAATAATCTGTTTGCAAACAGATTATTTTCGAAAGGTGGCTTCGAAACAACTAGCCCAATAATTAATAGTAACAATAACTAGTTATTTCGAAAAAAGTAAAGATGCGTTGTGGAAAACGGTAAGAGAAATTAAGCCAATTACTGACTGGTATATACAGTGGTAAGCGGACTTAGTCAACATTGAAAAGCCCTTTCAAGACATTTCAAAAGCCCTCAATATCAGAAACCATTTGTGGATTTAAATCCAAAACAGCTGCCAATGCAGCAATACAATGTTCAATTCCGGAGCATAAATAGAATAATAAGCGACAATCAAAGAAATCGATTTTTAAAGAAATGAACGAAGAATCAAATACACACATGGGAAGTCCTCAATGTGTTCTGGCTTTTCCCGACAGAGTGTGATCAGATGAGTAATATGGGCCTTGTTAACCAAATAATCTAAATTTTCTCTCAGGGCGGGAAATGCAAATCCAGCTACATGTTCAGTAACCCAGGAAAAGTGGGGTGGAGCATACGACATCGTCGGGAGAATAAAAGCGCGTTAAAAAAGATGCAACGACATGCGACTTTTACGTGCGTTAACCGAATATATTAACTCCGAGCCCAATTCTGCATCTTATTGGTTGAAATGTCTGAGCCCGCAGATAAAGTCCTTTGTCTATTGGCTATTTCTAGCGAACCAGAATAGAGCCAAACGAAGGGTGTTTTAAAATGAGCCTATGAGCTTCCTAATTGATTTAATTTACCTATTCCCGAGATGGAAGATGAAGAGTTATAACAAGGAAATAAAAAACAGATGGAAAGATATCGCAGTGTGAATTTAAGATTAAATAATAAGGTGGAAAGTTTTGTAAGGCTGAATGAGAGTAAGCCGAAATCCCGTTGACCTTGGAGTGAGCAGTGCTTTCATGTGCAGATTAACGGTATGCGTTGAGTAAGTATACGACAAGATAGCGTTTAATTGCTTTTTGTTATCGTTTTTATGACTCAATAGGACATTTTGTACCAGGTACTTATAACTCGCTGTGCAAGCGAATGTTTATAAACCACCATGTGGGATAACTTTCCCCGTAGTGTGGGGGAAATCCCAGGCACGTTAATTTTTTGGGAAATGCGAAGAATTAATCAAACTCCAGGGCACAGTTCCGTTTCCTCGCGAGCCGGTATTTCTGTAGGATGTCAAATTGGATCTGCCCATAGCCAATAGGGGAAGGGTTAAGTGCCTGGTATTTGCATTCGTACGATAAGAACTTTAGGTCCTTCACGATTTTCGTTGGCCTCCTGGATGGTCGAATCCCTTTTTTAAAATAAATAAATAAATTTCATATTTAAGGCCCGGAGGGCCTCGTCATTGCAAACTTAGT